TCCTGGAAGTCCACATAAGGCAGACAGAGAGAACCTACTTCATAAAGTTGTCCTTTGACCTCCATACACCCACATAGAGAGAGAGACACACACACACAGACACACACACACACACATACAGAGACACACACACACACATACACACAGAGAGAGAGAGAAACACTAATGACCAGTAGAATTAAATAAACCCCTCCCCTAAAACAAAGTGTATATATCCATGAAAGTGTCATAATGAAATCCACTACTTTGTAAAACTTTTTAAAAAATCAAAACAAACTACTGTAGGCTCATAGCAGGACATGGCCTTAGAGACACCTGGGTGCTCACGGTGTTCTAGCGAGGATCCACAGCTGGTGGGAGTGCTGTTTGGTGCAAGCTCTTGTTGTCTTTAATATAAACACACTCTGGGAAAAGACTCCTGCCAGTGGGCTGGATGCCACTCTCATTGTCTATTTAGGAAATGTTAGTGAGAGGGCCTAATATGTTCAAGACCCAGGGCTCCATGCAGCACCAAAGGAAGGTTGGGAAAGATTCAACTGTGGCTTCCTGCTATAATCCCCACAATTGAGGAGTCTGAGGTGGGAGGATCGGTTTGAGACCAATCTGGGCAATATGAAATGAATAATTAATGAGACAGGCATATAGTGGCCATGCCTATCATCCTGGCACTCTGGAAGTAAAGACAGAGAAATCAGTAGTTCAAGGTCATCGTTGGCCACACAAGTTCACAACCAAACTGGGATACAAAAGACAATGTCTACAAAAGCCCAAGATAGAAATCAAATACAAAATAAAAATGATAATTTTTAAACATGTTGTTGAGCTGGGCACAGTAGCCACACCTTTAATGTTAGCACTCTGGAGGCATTGACAGATAGAGCTCTGTGAGTTCTAGGCTAGCCCGGTCTACATTAGAAAGTTTCAGGCCAGCCAGGACTACATAGTGAGGCCTTGTTATTGGAAAACCTGTCTCAGCAGGCAGGAGTTAATGAATGCCTTTAAGCCCATCACTTGAATTTGACAATTGTTAAATTTCACTGTTTGCCTTATCTATATTTTATTAATGTAATTTAAAGGAAATTCCATCATGGCTTTACCCCTAAATATTTCATTAGACTTGTCTAAAAAATAAGCACATTTCCCCACGTAACTCTGAATGCCATTATCCCACCTGACATACTGAGCAGTAAAGCTTGACTGCCATCCAGCATTCACTCTGCAGTGACTGTCCCCAAATGCCTTTTCTTGCTAGCTCATTTAAATAAGAATCCAAGCATCTCCTTCCTCCAGGACCCTGCCTTCTGCCAAGTGGCTTTCTTGGTCCATGAGTAACAGAGAGCTCCCCTCCCATATCTGGCTCTCTGTGCCTTACAGTGGAGGCCCTGGAAGAATGGGGCCAGGGCAGGGTGGGGGTGGGGCGGGGGCAGGCTGTGGGAGAGGTTAGGATGAGCTAAGCCATTCCCAGCCTGGGCCTCCAGGCTCACCAGCATCTTTCCTTGCAGCCATGACTTCATTGGGGAGTTTACCACCAGCTACCGAGAACTGGCACGTGGCCAGAGTCAGTAAAACATCTATGAGGTGAGATGCACTGGGGGTGGGGTCGGCTGTCATAAGAGTGCCGGGGTCATGACAGTAATGACATGGGAGCTCTGAGAGGGGCTGGGGACTACCATGTTGTCTCACAAGATGGTTTCATGTTCCCATTCCACAGAGCCCCCCAGACACACACTCATACACCATACACACACCCACACAGCATACACACACACCACACTCACACCGGTATACCACATATACACACACAGCACACACACACACACACACACACACACACACACACAGCTAACTTATCTGACTTCCAAGTCCTTCAGCTGCATCATCTCCTGCAAAACACTTCTGACCAGGGATGGGGCAGTAAGAAAGTCCTGGGGGCTGGAGGAGAATTTCAATAGATAGATACATACACCACAACACACACACACACACACACACACACCCCACAGGAAGAGTCTTCAGGGTTACTTCCAAGCACCAAAAAGAAAGGAAAGGAGGCTGTGAGTCTAGACCCAAGGTCCTGACTTGAGAGTGACCCTATGTCTCAAAGCTTGTGGCCATCTGGAGGAGCAGCCAGTTGTCTTGACTGCTAAGTCAACCCTCCAGTCTCCATGGCTGTGGGTTTAGGGAAGGACTCTAGAATCATGCATTTCTCTGGGCTACCCAAGTCTGCCAAACCCAAGCAAGGCAAATTTTACTTTTCCCTGACCTCCTCTGAGGAGGATCCTAGCAAAGTGGATGGATGGAACAGTTAGATCTCTTGGAGTTTGGCTTCTGGTGGCTGTGTAGACCTGGCTGTCCTGGAACTGTCTGTAGACTAGGCCAGTCTCGAACTCACAGAGATCTGCCTGCCTCTGCCTCCAGAGTGCTGGGATTAAAGGCGAGCGCCACCACTGCCAGGCTGGCTGTGAGATCTTAAGCAAAATGAAAATGGAAAGTATGGCCGGCATGGGCTCCTTCCCGTAGTCAGCCATTGACCGTTGACTCTTTGCAATCAGCACAATACGATATGAGCTGCCACTTGGGAAGCAGTGGCTGGAAAAGCCAGCTTGGGAAAACAACCAGCTTCCATGGCCCCACAGGCAGCTTTGAACCCAGGGTTGTTGCTAGGAGGAGAAGTGGGCTCAGGAAGGCCTTGCCAGAGTCAAGACTGTGTGAAAGAAAGCTCTCACCACTCAACACCCCATCCCCAAACCTGAAACCACCTTGGCGGGATGCACTTTTACCCCAGCTGTCTGTGGGCCAGGATCCAGCCCCTGCTAAAGACTGACTCACCAGCCAGGCCTTTACAAATGCTGCCCCCTCCTCCTGCCAGCCCTGAGAGAGATGCCTCCAGTCTCCAACCTCTCAGGGTCATTATCAACATGACTCTCTACCTCCTGAGCTCACCAATCTCTCCATGGTGTGAGCTTTGCTATAGTTTCCTAGCCTCTTCCATCCTCAGTAACCAGAATGCTCTGGGTGTGGACCAAAGAAGGCCTGGCCACGGGTGAGCTGCTCGGAAGCCCTGTGCTGCCTTGAAATGAGCTTCTAATGTGCCTGCTGCAGCCTCCAGGCTGTCCGAATAGAAGATCGCAGTGCTCACCACAGCTGAGCCCCACTAGCCTGTAGAGGGAGAGTGTGCCCCTTCCATGAATAGAGGCATACCACGTGCCTGTCCTGGCGGTGATCTGCTCTGCTTCCCGCTGTCTGTCACTTCTGTACTCTGAGGCTGTTGTCCTCTATATAGCCTCCTTTCTGCAGCTGCTTCCCCAAGGACCCCTCTGCCACTTCTGATTAATGTCTGTGGTCCCTGGAGACCTTCTCAAATGCCCCCTCCAGGAAGCCATCTCTGCCTTGTAAGTCTCCACCCACACACCACTCCTCCCCAGGGTGTGCCTGGGGCCCTTCTGAGACCATGAGGTTCTCAGAGGTGGGGCATTTGTTCTACATTCCCAATAGCCTGTGCACACACAGGAAAGCCGATTTCAAAATGGGAAAGGTAGCCTATTGAGTGGGCCAGCTCCTTACAGTGTCTCTAGGAGGCGCTGTGGCCCTGTGTAGAACGTGGCAGCCACTTGTGGCTAGAGAAGAGGTTCTGGGGAAATCCCAGGAGACCTCAGAGCAGACAGGGTGCTAACTCACTATCCATTCAGATCTGACATCAACTGTTGCTTTAACGTAGAAAGAGTAGCATAGCGTCAGGGAGCGGAAATGTGACTGCACATTGCTTTAAAGATAAAGCAGACGGCTTCAAAGAAATGTGTCAGACGTGGTGGTGTGTGGCTGTGTGGTCCCACCACTCAGGAAACTGAGGCAGGAGGGATATGAGTTCAAGGCTAGCCTGGGCTATGCAGTGAGACCCTGTCTCAGAAACAGAAAGCAAAATAAAATGAAACAGAGGTAATACAAAGAAATCCACACCCCGAGCCTCATTTCATGCTCATTCCCTTCTGCTGAAGGTTCCGGTTGTCCAAACGCTATAGCATTGAGACTGCAACTTTGTCTGGCCACCTGGGCAGCCAGGAGCCAATGGTGGAGTAGGCGAGGGATGCCCCATGACTAGAGAGGCACCTCTGGCTGGTTCGGCTCTCAGACCTGGCCTCAGTCCCACCTATACATTCTGCCAGCCCTCCCATTTGAACCTGTCACTCATTCATCAAGATGACAGCCCCATCATGTGTGCACCGATGGCCTGGAGACAGGCTTCTAATCCTGTGTCTACCCAGATGGCTGTGTGACCTTCAGCAAATCACCTGGCATCTCTGTGCTCTGATGGCCTTTGTCTCCAGAAGTGGGCATCAATCCTCAGTAGCTCAACCACACCGCAGTTAAAGACAGATCAAAGGCCCCCAAGGGAGGCATGAGCCATGTGGAGGAGGGGGATGGGTTCAAGAGAAGCCAATAGGTGACCATGTGGGCGGCGGCTATGGGAACTGCCTTGCTCTGTTGATGGGACACCAGAGAAAGCCCAGATTTCCCATGCTGAGCATGAGGACAGAGAGCTCAGTGTGGCCGTGCAGTGTATCCTCTCCCTGGCCCCAGGGTTTCTCCGGCATTGGTAACATCTACAGCTGGGTCAGCATCCTGACATCCCACTTTCTCCCCAAAGTGATGTCAACTGTCAACAGACTTTAACAAATGTCAAGGGTGTCAGTGGCTGTCACTAGCAGAGAGCAGAGACATCCCAAGTCATTCCTGAGCCTACTGTGTAGGACCCTGTCACAAGAGGATCTGGTTTGGAAACTCCCTACTGTGGGTCATGGTGGCAGCCCAGAGCCAGATTCAGAGGCTTGGGGCACCTCTGAGTGGGACCCCCAAAGGGGATGGGGAAGGCAGGGCTGAGGCAAGAAAGGTGTGTGGTGTGAAGGGGAGGCCTAGCCAATGCAGGCAGGCGTGGGCAGAGCTATCTTGCAACACCCAGCTGCTTTGGGAGGCTTTGAGGGTATTGGAAGACAAAGCTAAAGAAAGTGTCCCAGTGTGTTGGATCCTGGGACGCAGGGTTAGCTATGACTCCCAGCTTCCAGCATCCCACAAGGCCTGGCAAAGCCCTTCCCCAGCTGTGGTCACACCCCATACCCTCCTGGGCTGGTGCCCAAGCCACACCCAGGGCTGGTGGGAGCCCTGAACCTGCCCTGACTGCTTTCAAACAGTAAGCTGCTTTTCCCTATAGGTGATAAACCCAAAAAAGAAAATGAAGAAAAAGAAATATGTGAATTCTGGCACGGTGAGTAACCCCCTCACCCCCGTTGCAGTGGTGGTGGTGGTGGGTGGACATTGCCCTTAGCCAGGCTGGAGTGCAGGGGTCCAACCCAGGTGAGTGGGTAGCAGAGTCATCAGCCTGGGGAATCTCTGCAGGAAAGAAAAGGAAAAGCCAGCATGCTTATGGGGAATTCCCCAGGCACTGGGCTTTGTGGAGAGGAGCAGAGGCTGCAGTCTGGGAAGTGACTCAGCCAAGGTTACACAGCCTGGAGTCAGGCAGGAGTGAGAACCGTCTTCCCTCTGTATGGGCAGCAGGCATCCCCTGCTTCACTGTTACCACCAGGGTCAACGCTAGTCCTTGGGGGCTGCTCAGCTGGACATTCCCACATTTATCCAGCAGATATGTGCAGGGCACTCAGTAGTGCTATGCGGACAAATGACACAGCCAGAAAATGGCAGACCTGGGTCCCCGGTGCTGGTAATTAGGGGAGACAGAGGGCTAACTAGTATGGGTACCTGTACACACATCCGTGAAGTGATCGAAATAGGTGTGGGGGAAGTGATAACCGAATAGAGTGGATATTGAGAATATCGAAGAAACCAATAGCATGTGCAAAGGTCCTGGGGCAGAGCCCCAGCACTGCCCTAGAACAAGTCAGTATGTTTGCTGTGCAAATGTACTCTGGCATCTTTGGTTTGGATTCCCCCGTGACTGCAGGGAATCTAATAGTGGCCTTGGAGGATGAAGTACTGTTGTAGGCTGTTTCTGGTTGACTGAAAGCCACCTGGGAGGAGGTTTAGTGGCTTCTAGGTGCTCCACACACTCTCCCCTTCCCCCCCCCCCCGTGGGGCTTCTGGGTGGGGTTTCACACACTGTTGCCCTGGATAGGGCTCTCTGGGGGCCTCTGTACACAGACCTTCTGTCCTGTTCTTCAGGTTGAGGAACATCAGCTTTGTCACAGTTGGTCTAGCCAAGATGAGGGGCTGGTAGAATCGTCAGATCCACACCAGCAGGGGCTCCTTGGTTTCAGGGCTCCCCCTTTCAGGTGCCTCACTCCTCTCTATGACCAAAAGTCTCTGTGACAGGCTGCCTACGTGGACAAAGCCATTGCCAAAGTCTCTGAGGGAGCGCGGGAGGCTTCAACTAGGAGAGGGATCCTGGGTGTCAGGCACCTGCAGGGAAAAGATGGGCTGCTCAGAGAGTGTTGGGGCGGAAGGGGCAGAGGCTGAATTATACCCCAGAAGTGTGCATGACAGGCGAGGCTGGAGAATAGGACAGACACAGGAGTGGCGATGGATTCAGACAGAGTAGGTTCATATCCTCACTGTGCCACATCCTGGCAGCATCCTTGGAACCTCACTTCTCCTTGGCTGTAAAATGGGGGTGAGAGTCCTTGGTGGGGGTAGTGACGGGGTGAAGTCAGCACCTGTCAATGATGGTCTACACAGGCCAGATCCTGACCACCCTGGGGCGCTCCGCTAACCACACCCCCTTTCTTTCCCAGGTCACACTGCTTTCCTTTGCGGTGGAGTCAGAGAGCACCTTCCTGGACTACATCAAAGGAGGGTGAGAGAGATGGGGCTGGCCTCCCCCCTGGGGAGAGAGCAGGGCTCCATACCATGTAACCAGAGCACACCCCTTGAGACCCCAGCAGAGCCTGACACAGGGCTGTAAACAGGCCCTGACTCTGAGCTGAGCGCCCCGCCCACTCCTGAATTCTGAGCGCAGGAGGCCTGCCTGGGTCATGTCAGATCCCTGAGCAGAGGTTAGGACCCGAAGCCGGTGGAGACTCCAGACAAAGAGAGCCAAGGTGTGGGTGGTAGAAAGTGCTCTGGGCGGGGCATCAGGATCCCTGTTTGCCTTGGCTTTACTGAGTTACTACGGTGAGTCATGTTCTCTCTGTGGGTATCAGGGCCATCCAAGGAATGGAAGGGGTGAAAGTTGAGCTCCTGATGGGCGTGGGACAGGGACCTGTAAGGACAGTGAGGTTAGGGGACCCTCCGTCCCCGGGTCAGTGGGTGCCCAACCTCAGCTTGAAAGAACAGAAGAACTGTAGGGGGGTGACCCGCAGGCCAACTCAGCAGAACAGCCAGGAGGCCTCAGCTGTCAGCTTACTAGACATGGCCCAATTCCAAGGAGGGGGCCTCCCTGGCACGCTCTCTGCAGGCAGCTGCCAGGTCAGGGTGTGGGCAGCTGAGAGCCCACAGGTGCAGGAGAGCAATGACTGCACCTGCCTGAGAGGAGACGGGCAGGGCAGCTACCGAGGGCGCATCCCAGCCTGGCAGGCACCTGGCTGCCCTGTCTCCTGGGACATTTCTCACTTTCCCATGACACTGTTCCTTCATCTCCTGCACTTGCAACCTCAAGGTTACAAGCCCTCCCTGTCCTCCTCCCCCCCCCCCCCCCCCCCCCCCCCCCCCTGCACACAGCAGTTTCCTCTAGCTCCTCTTTGCATAGATCCACTCCCTGCCTCCCTGCCTCCACAGCTTTCCTTTGCAGAGCTGGGGGTGCAATTCAGTGGTACAGTACTTCACCTTAAACAAAAAAAAAAAAAAAAAAAAAAAAAAGCACAAACCAAAATTCTCCCTTCTTTATTCCATTAAGCAGCCAGCCCTCACATTCCATTGCACCTGGCAATTTTCAAACAAGCTTCATTTTGTTCACCCTCTCATTTGCATAGCATTCCTAATTTACATACAGGGTGGGGCGAAGACCTTATCTCAATTTTGCACCCACCTTCAAGGTAGCCTGGCTCCTTTTGTTCCCAGCTAATTGGTAATCCTTGCCTGCTCTGTTGTTCCCCACGGGCCTAAACACAGATGGAAGCTGAAGAGGCAGGGGGCCGCAGAAGCACCACGCAGGTCAGACCACTAGAAAGAACACTCTGGAGGGTCTGAGCTAGACAATTGACTATGAAAATATAGGGGCATGTCCAGGCAGGAGGCTGACAGAGATGTCTGTCTGGGGACCCAGAAGGAATGAGAATGACGGTGGGTGCCTATTCCCTGGGACAGGTGAGGCCAAGAGACAGAAGCAACTTGGCTGCAGGGAGTCGTCCGCAAAGTGCCTGCTTTCTTTCTTTCCTTTTTTTGGGGGGGGCGGGGGTGCTGTTCGAGACAGGGTTTCTCTGTGTAGCCCTGGCTGTCCTGGAACTTGCTTTGTAGACCAGGCTGACCTCGAACTCATAGAGATCCACCTGCCTCTGCCTCCCAAGTGCTGGGATTACAGGCGTGTGCCACCACTGCTTTCTGATTGCTTCCTTCCCCTATGTTTTCAGGACTGTGAGTAGAAGAATAGTTAGGGAACAGGCCAGCCTTTCCCCTCATCCTGGTTTTGGAAGAGACAACCTGGTAGTTGGCTGTAGTCCAGCAAGGCGGAGCCCATCCCCTCAAGGGTAGCTCCTGAATCAGAGCTTTTGCTCTCCAGGTGTCTCCTTTCCTTTGACAAAGATGCTGTTATTTTAATGCCATCAAACAGTCTACTGCTATAGCAAGGAGTCCCCAGCCACAGGCTTCAAACAAGTATCCGGCAGTGCTGAGTGTGGCAGAGATTTACACAGCCATTCAGGGGCCCAGGCTCTTGCTCTCTTGTGGCTCTTATCTTACAGACTGGAGTCCAGGGAATGCTCTGTCCCCAGCTCTCAGAAAGCTGGGATTGCCTCTGCCTAGAAAAGCTGGCTTGTCTCCGGCTGGCCATGTACTTGCCCCTTCCCGGGGGACAAAGGTCTTGTGTGCAGCAGCTTAGCTGTGATCAGGTGATAAAAGATCTTGGATTTCTAACAGGAACCTTCTCTAAGTGCAGTTGAAATGGGGCCTGGCTTCTGTTACATCCTCCACATCCCAAGCAAGGCACCTCCCCTCAGTGTGACCCCAGTATTTTTGTTAAGCAGATTCTGAGGGCCCCACCTCAAACCAACTGAATGGCCACAGGGAGAGGGCCCTAACCCTAACCCTGTGAAACCTCCAAGCTATAGCATTGAGAGTGGAGCCTCAAGTGACTCCCAGACTCTCACTGACCTGCCCAGACAGTCGGAGTCTAGTGTCCCCCTCACCCACTGTCCATGAAGTGTATCTCAGCTCTCACCCATCCCCAGGTCCTGCAGAAGGTAGCTCTAGAATACAAGGCTTTCTCTTCATAAAACACAACACAGGGATTAAAGACGTGGCTCAGTGGTTAAGAGTGCTTCCTGCCCTTGCAGAAGCCAACACCCACATCAGGTGGCACACAACAGCTCCAGAAGATCTGACACCCTCTTCTGGCCTTTTCCAGCACTACACGCAAGTGCACGTTCACACAGAGACACCCAAGAAAGAAATGTTTTAAGCATATAGCCACACTATGTGATCCCAAAATAACTCACAATGCATAATAATCCCATAAACACTGAAAAATTCACAGTTCATTAATACCAGACTCGAAGCAGTTTTCGATTGTCCCTGGTTGTCTTAAAACTTTTTTAAATTGATTGATTCCAAAGTCCAGTCAAAATCCAAATGCTGATTGATATACTTCTCTCTTAATTCTGTTTTCATCTTTGCAGAATCTAGAGGGGACGAGAGATTCCCAAGTTCGGGACTGTGGTTCCTATAGCAATCCTATACAGTTTTTCATAGACTCTGGCTGTGTCCCCAGTGACGTCATTTAACATGTCCCCCTTCTGTTCCCTGTATTTTCTGTAAGAACTTAGAGACTGGCTGTGCTTCTAATCCAAGCACTTAGAAGGCAAAGACAGGAGGATTTCTGTGAGTTCAAGATCACATAGTAAATTCCAAGGCAGCCCAGTGAAAACCCATCTCAAAAACTAAGCAGAAAACAAACTAACAAAACAGCAAGGCAAGCAAGCAAACAAACAAACAAAAAAAAACAGAAAAAAAAAAACCAAAAAAACTAGCAGACAGCTGTGGAGGCTCAGCTATGTTTTGACTTTTGTCATGTTTTAACCATTAGTCCGATTCTGAATTTGAACCAGAAACCCAGTGAGCCCTGACCTCACCTACTCACTCACTTGGGCACAGGTTCAGAGAGGAAGGGACAGCAACCCACAGAACAATGTATGTCCCCACAACATAATCAGAGTGTTGTGGGATGCTCACAGTGGCCTCACAGAGGGGCTTGGCTGTTTCAACTGTCCTAGATTCCCAGAGCTTGTGTCCAAGTGGCTTCACTGAGACCACATGCCTAACACACATGGGTGCCCAGTGGTTTTCCCTCCTTGCCCGTCTTCCCCAGGTGACTCCAGGTCTTCTCCTCTCTAGGACACAGATCAATTTCACCGTGGCCATTGACTTCACCGCCTCCAATGGTGAGTGGGGAGGAGTCGGGGGTGGGCATCTCTGGGCTGTGGTAGACAACTCGGCCATGAGCCAGGTCCCTCATACTCCCTCTTCTTCCTGTTGGGACTATTCCTAGGGAGGTGTAATCAAGCATCTACTCCCCCAGTTAGGGAACTAATAACAGACCAAAGTACAAATATTACCAAAGTCCAGTGTGAGTTTGCTGGCTTGCTTACAGGGGTATGACTGAGGGGTTACTACAGGAACATAGGTGAATGAAAGCCACCCAATGTGGGTGACAACCTAGGAAATCTGGGATCCTGAGGCTCTCTGCATAGCTTGCAGGCAGTTTAACGGGGCCTTGCTGTGCCTTGTGAGTGGTTTACTTCCTGAGTCTCACGGAACTGCTCTCTGAGAAGGAATGCTTCAATTAGAAGGCAACTGCCCACCAGAGAAGGCTTCTATGTCCACACAGCCAAAGTTAGAATGGGGAGGTCTCCGCACGCCTTTGATCTTAGCACTGGGGAGGCAGCTGCAGGTGGATTGCTGTGAGTTTGAAGACAGCCTGGTCTATACAGTGAGACCCTGTCCCCCGAAATAAATAAATAATTTGTTAATTTAATTAAATTAAATAGCCAAGAAGTGAGGCCTCCCCATGTCAGGTGGCCCTATACTGGTACACCTGTGTTGAGGGGGGGAGCACAGTCCCAGCCATTGCCCTGATCAGGAGCACCTCAGTCTACTGAGGAACAGGAGAATGCAGCATTCTAGATCTGGCTGTGGCTAGGTGGACAGGACCCATCACAGTGCCTAAGTGTACCCTGAAAAACAGCACAGAGCTTCTTCTTTTTTTTTTAAAGATTTTATTTATTCATTATGTATACAACATTCTGCTTCCATGTATATCTGCACACCAGAAGAGGGCAACAGATCTCATAACGGATGGTTGTGAGCTATCATGTGGTTGCTGGGAATTGAACTCAGGACCTCTGGAAGAGCAGTCGGTGCTCTTAATCTTTGAGCCATCTCTCCAGCCCCAGCACAGAGCTTCTTGTGGGGTCACCTGGTGTGTCAGAGTTCTTCTATGGCTATAAGGCATGAATACTGGGCTGTTAGAGCCGGGGACCGGGTGTCTTAGTACTGATGCCAGAAAAGACAGTGCAGGAGATGGCTCAGAGTGCTTGCTGTGCAAGTGAGGACCGGAGGTTTGGTCCCCAGGACACACATGCATGGCAGGTGTATTATGGGGTGGCCCGTCTATAATCAGCCTAGTGAGACTAGCCATGTTGGCCAGCTCTGGGTTTGACTGGAATTAGGTGAATTAGGCGGAAGAACAAGGGGGGGATGATTCTCAAATCAACCTTGGGCCCTCCATGTGCAAGTGCATGTTCACACGCGCACGCACACCGTCACTCATAGACATGCGTGCACACAGACATAGACATGCATGCACACAGGTGTGAAAATGGAGGGCAGACAGTTCTACTTACACCACCCATTTGGTCCCTGTGACCCTAGGGTGGGGCAGATGCCCCTGACTTACAGGGGGTATCTCTAGCAAGGAGAATTAGGCTGAAGGGTGAAGATCACACAGCCAGTAGGCGGTGAGATATTGATAGTGCCCTGGGGGTGGGGCGGGGACCAGTAATGAGTGGATCCGTGAAATCTGAACTCCTGCGGTACAGAGGCAATGGGAATACCGTGGCAGGAGAAGGGAAAGGGAACTCAGGGGTAGGGGGACACTACTAGAGGAAGGCCATACTGGGTCGGTGGCCGTGGAAGAGAGACAAGGAGGCGAGCCTTGCGAGTGTTCGGGAGAGACACAGGCGCTGCCAGGGCCGTGCGGGGAGGTGTGGAGAGACCTCGGGCTGGGAGGGTATGGGAGGACCGGAGGCCAGTCCAAGGGGATCCTGTGGCTTGATGGGCTCTGGGGTGACCTGGGTGGGATGTGGGCTTCGGGTAGTTCAAGCAAGGGTCTGGCCTTGGAGTGGGGCTGGGCAGGCCAGTGGGTAGTGTGCACTGCAGATAAGGGCAGAGTAGGGGCAAGCAGGGGCCATGGCGAGGCTGCTGCTGTCCTGTACACCAGGCGGTGGTGGCTTTGAAAAAGTGGGATACTGGACCTGTTCCAAGGGCTCGGCAGTCCCTCCTTGCTGACTGCTGAACTAGGATGGACTGGAGGGGGCGGTGGAGAGAGCTGTCCAGTTTGGCAGACGTCCCCATGCCTCGTGTTGCAGGGAACCCCTCGCAGTCCACATCCCTGCACTACATGAGCCCCTACCAGCTGAATGCCTACGCGCTGGCGCTGACCGCCGTGGGAGAGATCATCCAGCACTATGACAGCGACAAGATGTTCCCTGCGCTGGGCTTCGGGGCCAAGCTGCCCCCCGACGGCAGGGTGTCACATGAGTTCCCACTGGTAGGAGGTGCTAGGCTGGGAACAAACAGTAGGGGCCAGGAGTGTTCCTAATTCTTGACCTTGGCCTAAATGCTTGTAAGCTCCAGAGGCATGGCCACCTACTTGGTTTGGGGTTTGAGCTAAAGGCAACTAACTATGCCTCTGCTTCCCCCCTGCCTCCCTGGACCAGCCCTGCCTCTGCCTCCCACCCCCTACCCTCCCACCTCTGCCTCTGCCTCTCACTTCCTACCTCCCCACCCCGCCTCCCTGGGTCTAGCCCTGCCTCTGCCCTTTCCCCTGCCCCTCCCTTCCCGGGCCCAGCCCAGCCCTGCCCCTGCCACCTTCCTGCCTACTTGAACTCAGCTGTCTCCTCTTTGTCCCAGAATGGCAACCAGGAGAACCCCTCGTGCTGTGGCATTGATGGCATCCTGGAAGCCTACCACAGCAGCCTGCGTACCGTGCAGCTCTACGGCCCCACTAACTTCGCCCCTGTAGTCACCCACGTAGCCAGGTGAGCCTCGGGCAGGTGGTCTCCAGGAAGCATGACTGGAGGGGGTAATAGAGCATATCATGTAACCTGCCCACCTTTCAGCAAGAGGCCCAGGAGATTCCCTTGGACCCCTTACCAGAGTGTTTGGGAGCCTTGTATACAGGGGGCCTGGGCCAGAAGCTTTTCAAGACACACCTCTTTGTGTGCCCACCCCCCCCACCCCCCACAGGAATGCTGCAACCGTGCAGGATGGCTCCCAGTATTCTGTTCTGCTCATCATCACTGATGGTGTCATCTCTGACATGGCACAGACCAAGGAGGCCATCGTCAATGTGAGTGGAGAATAGGGGTCTCCCTCTCTCTCTCTCCTTCCCTCCCTCTCTCCCTCTCTCCCTCTCTCCCTCTCTCTCTCTCTCTCTCTCTCTCTCTCTCTCTCTCTCTCTCTCTCTCTCACACACACACACACACACACACACACACACATGGGGGCGGGGCTGAAGCATCTTGTCCCACCCCTAGGACAGCCTGGTGTGGGGATGCTTCCTTTAAAGAAACATTGGGGGTTCTTTCCCTGTCCCCACAATGCTTCCCTAAAGGGGACCCTCCTTTGAGTCCCTTCATCCATCTAGTTGCTGGAGGGAGTCTGGCAGGCCTAGGAGAGAGCGCTGGCGAGGAGGCAGGGGGAGATAAAAGAAGCACTGGATCTCTGGGCCGTTGGACTCTGAGCCACACAGCTGCCCGTTCTCTGGGGGCCATGGCTCCCTCAGTCACACACTCTAGGTCCCAGCTTGCCTATCACGTAGAGGAGGTAGGGGTCCCAGCGTGAAGAAAGTTTGCACCCCTCACAACCCTGACCCATGGTTTCCCTATAAAAGGGGCCCCAGCCCCAGCTGCCCTGGTCCCTCATGATGGAGCCCCAGACCCAGAAAAGAGGTGGCTCACAGAGGCAGAAAGACCCAGCACCCCTGAAATGCCTCCTCTCACTCTTCATCTCCATGTCCTCTCCCTATCCTCTCCTCTTCCTTGGGGTTCCTTGAGGTCCCCTATCCTTTACTATCCATTCTTTCCCCAGGCCCTGCTCTGCTCTCTCTTCATTGACCACCTTCCTGTCTCTACCTATCCCTCACCCAGGACTTTCCCCCTACCCTTTCTTCTCCCAGGCTGCCAAACTCCCCATGTCCATCATCATAGTTGGTGTGGGCCAGGCTGAGTTCGATGGTGAGTCCGGTGCCCCCTTCCCAGCTGTCTCTTCCCACAGCAAGAGCTCATGTCTGGGTGGGCTTGTGACACACCAAGAGGGTGTGTCAGTACCCACGCATGCCTCGGCCCCATCCCGGGACTGTGCCGCTCCTCCAGGCAAGGAGCCTGGACAAGGGGAGCAGGGCCCTAGCTGCATGTTGGTCTGGGTCTCCACCTGTTTCTGTGTGTGTCAGGGCAAGAGCCCTCGCCTGGCCTGGGACTGGAGGGTAGGTCCTGTCAGATGTATATGGACACTGCCACAAACACACATCCCTTGTCCCCACAGCCATGGTGGAGCTGGATGGTGATGATGTGCGGATCTCCTCCCGGGGGAAACTGGCTGAACGGGACATTGTCCAGGTGAAACAGGCCCTCCAGCCAGACCAGTCTCAGAGCCCCTGTGCAAACTCCCCAAGGGCAGACCCTGGAATCCCCTCCTAGGCCAGTGTTCTCATGAGATCATGCCCCTCCCTGTCCCTCCCTGCCCTGCCCCTCCCTGTATGAAGCTCCCTCCTAACCTGAATGGCACCCCCACAGAATCCAAAGCCCCCCAAAAGGGCTCTGTGCTCATGCACTTTCTATAATCTATGATACATGGACTTCCCGAGGCATGGAGACCCCTTGAAGATGGAGGCAGTGTCCTTAGTGTCTAGGAGGAGGAGGGAAGAAAGGAGCCAGAGAGAGGTTTTGGTGGTGGCATGGGTTAGGCATGGGTTTAGAGAAGAAGGGGCCTAGGAGACAGAAAGAGAGTCCCTCTGGAAAGAGGTGGTAAAAGGAAAAGAAGCCATCAGGCCGGATTCAATCAAGCTTTCCCAGAATCCCTTGCGCCTCTGTGCTCATTGCTGGAGTCTCAGATGAAGGGATTGGGTCAGTGTTAGGTCACATCATGAAGTAGATATCCGTGAGACCTGGGCAATCCTTGGCGAAACTCACAAAGTAAGGGTTGGGCGTAGTGGGCTCTCTGGGAGGGGACCCAGATGCCACATCCTGATCCCAGTTTCCTGTCTGTCAGTTTGTGCCCTTCCGGGACTATGTGGACCGCACCGGCAACCATGTCTTGAGCATGGCCCGCCTGGCCCGGGACGTGCTGGCTGAGATCCCTGACCAACTGGTGTCCTACATGAAGGCACAGGGCATCCGCCCACGCCCACCACCCGCCGCACCTCCTCAGTCGCCTCCACAGTCCCCAACCCACTCACCTCCTGGGTCCCCCCTGCACACACATATCTGAAGCTTTCAGGACCAGGAGCCTGGAGGCTAAGGCCTCACTCCTTGTGGTCACCTTCCCAGACTCTTCTTGGAGGGCTGGCAGGAGATGGGGTGTCCATGGCCTCACCCCACTTCCTGGCCTCAACTTCCCACCCAAACCCAAGGAACTGGGGGTGGTGTAGAAGACAAGGGGTACACAAGACTCTGCGGTTGAGTAGACTCCCCTACCCTAGGTTGGATAACCCCAGGACTCCCATATTCTTGCAGCCCAGCTGGCCTCCTCCAGCTCCTCCCCTCCTCCCTAGTGTCCAGTGTCCCCACTCCCTTGAGATCCCTCGTCCTGTTTCCATGGAACCCTAGGCTGGTGGGCTACCAGGGATGCGTGTTACTGACCTTCTTAGGGACTCCATATGTAAGCAGAGCCTGTGAGCGATCAGGGGCTGTGATGGAGGCATGTTAACATAGGGCCCCTTCACGATGCTCAAAGGTTCAGTGGTATGCTAGAATGTTCTAGATAGAACTCTCACGGGTAGCGTGTGGCATTAAGTTGTCTCCTGCTCACCTCGGAGGCCACTCACCTGCCGGGCACAGGGCCAGCCCCTGCACTCCCACTAGCCTCCTCTCTGCACTTCAGTGGCTCTGGGACCCAAGACAGGAGCCCTGAGCACCAGAGTGTCCCCACCCACATCCAGCAGGAACCCACCCAGCACAGCCTCTGCTCTCTGGACCTCAGTGTCCACACCGATGTGACGACAGGATTGGTCAGGTGGTCCAACGTTTCCTGAGCCATCCTGAGGGTCCGTTCCATTCCACATCCAGCCTTCCCGAACCCTCTTCGTGACCACCATCCACACCCAGGCTGTCTAGACTCTGGGGTTACCCCATTGCATCCTGTCACCCCACACCCCAGCCCTTCAGTTGTCAGAACTCCTGCCCCTGCTGTGGAAGAGTGGCAAGGAGGTTCTCACCTACATTTACCCCACCGGCCACCGTCCTTTGTCCACTGGGGCAGGTCTTGCATGTGTCCCCTGTGCCGCATGGGGTCCCCGCCTGCCATCTCCCATCCCACCTGCCTCTCTCATGCATGGTGATGGTGGTGTTTCTACTGTCTGGTCCTGTGCCTGTCTGAGACCGTCTCTGTGGAACTTGCCTTAAACTGAAGTAAAACGGTTCTTTTAGTAGACCCCCGTCCCATCTCTTCAGAGAGCGGCTCTGTTGCTTGCCCAGCATCTCTCTTTGGTTCAGCCATGCTTCCGTCAGACTCTGTGTGAGTCATGGGTGTGTGTGGCAGGGGTGGAATCTGCCCCCACAAATATCACGGAAAACAGGAAAGACAGCAAGTGTGGAGACACTCTGGTCTGTAGCCTGGCTTCAGACAGCGAGCAGGAAGGGTGGGGAACAATGGGAGAGAAAGAAAGAATAGATATCAGTGGTGAGATGTTTTAGGAGAGAGAGTCAGATGATTCAGGGGAGCCCCAGGGAAATGAGCCAGGAGCCACGCTGATGCCTGAATAAAGAGGGCACTGGTAGTGGGCTAAGGGCAGAGTTGCTGAGGTAGGAGCCTGGTGTGTTTGAAGGGGGACGAGGAGGTCACTGTGATGAGAGCTAAGTTAAGGAAGAGAGTGCAGGGGCTGACATCTGGGAGGGCCTTGTGGTTCATGGCAAGGCCTCTGACAATTTGCTCTGGAGAGGTGTAGCCATTGAGGAAGTGAGAGAGAGAGCGCAACTGACCGGGATCTCTCCGATGTGTGGATCACTGTCTTATTCAATCGCTTATTCCCTCACCTCTCAACAAATGTCCACTGAACATCTGTTCCAGGCCTGCTCATGGGTCAGAGGCACTGGCTCACCCCCCAGTGTCACCCTCCAGGCTAAATCAGCCGCCACAGGGCAGCAGTGCCAGCCAGCAGGAAGGACTGGGAGCTGTGGCACTAAAGGGCACTCTGGCCCATCCAGGATGATGGGGTGTGTACCCAGCTGGGGTGTGTACCCAGCAGGTAGGGTACATGTGTGCACTGATGGTGTGACATCCCCAGGGCCCTGTGTACTTTAGGCACAGAGTAAACATCTTTCTTGGTCCCTCTTCACAGGTCAGGGCCATCACCAACCTGGATCATGTGACAAGGACTATACACACACAGACACACAAACAATGCATGCTGTCCATTCAGCCCTCTGGACAGCCATTCTGAGTCCATACCCAAGAGGAATCCAGTACTAATTATCCTCTAGTTCAGGGCTTGTTTACTCCTGATGACTTCATGGCAAATTAGAGCTGACTCATAGCCGTCCCTATAATCAGATGCGCTACGACTCCCATGACGCCGCCCGCCATGAGTGGGAATGGGGTGGGGTCGTGGCTCTAGAGAAGGGAAGTTCCCATAACCAGCAGCCTATTTTCCATCTCCTTGGGCGCCATGGAAAAGTGTAGGGAGGAGATGGGTGCCGGGCAGGGGAATCCACACACAGAGCAGCTGCCCCAGGCATGGGGGGTGGGGCACACCCCACCCCCCCTTGTATCTGTGACATGGCTTCTCTGCTGGGTTCCTTCCCAAGAGTGTTCTCCAGAACCTGAGGCAACTGTTTTCTCTGAGTCCTCCTTGGGTAGCTTCAGTGGCCTTTGGGACTACCAAGGCCCTGGCAAGGTCTATAGCAGAGACTGGTTTGACTGGATTCAACACAATAGTCCCTAGGGTTTTTGACCACACAGTCAGACTCCACTCCCCCTTCTCTCTCTCTCTCTCTCTCTCTCTCTCTCTCTCTCTCTTGTGTGTGTGTGTGTGTGTGTGTGTGTGTGTGTGTGTGGTGTATAACCAGTAATGTTAAGCTAAACAAGCTGTCTTGAGAATGACAATGGACACAGCCTTCCTGGTTCCAGGGCCAACATAGACGCTGAGGCCACGTCTAAAGAGTCAGAGAGAGAGAGGTGGACCCTAATGGGTAGGAGCAGGCTTTGAAAAAGACCCTTCCCAGCCACCTTAGAAAAAGAAACCACACAGAAGAAAGGGCTGGGCTCAGCAATTCACCAGCCCAGACTCTCAGCCCCACAGTAGACTTAATTTTTGCTCCTGTCTGGGACTGAGGGTGTGTGGGACAGAGCTGGAGGGGGTGGGCAGGGATGGGCAAAGCAGATGAACGACTCTCTTGGACTCTCCTGGCTGTGGCAGCCTGCCCTTAGCCCATGGCCTGCAGGACTAAGAACCCCAGGGTGGTGGACCCAGAGTGGTCCTGTTTCTGTCCCCTTTGATCCACTCCTCTCTAGTGCCCAGAATTAGTAATCGTAAGATGGTGGCAGCACCTTGGTAGTGACCTGCCACTCACAAGCTCACTGAGCCCCTCCCCCTCCTCACACATTTTAAGTGGGTGCCTCCTTGAGACCATCCTGTGAAGAAGAGATTCTCATCCCGTTTTGCAGATGAGGAAACTGAGGCACAGGGAAGCACAAAGGCCCAGTATCACAAAACCATAAGGTTGGGAGCCCACAGGTATCTGAGCTTCACAGCTCTTCCACAAGTGTGAGCTGTCACCTCTCCAGTTCACTGGCTGCTGTTCCCAGTCTCTGTGACACGCTGTCTGTGTCCCCATGAGAAAGTGGAGAGGCAGGGTCTAGATGACTAAGGCACCTCCTCTCAGCCTGGAAGCTAAGCTTTTCTAGGCTCAGCCTATTGTCTAGATTCCTGCCATGTCCTCTTCAGAGCATGGAGTCCCTGTCATGGCCAGATACTTCTCACTACCCCAGGAAGTGCAGCTGTTCTGGACCTTCAGAAAACGGCCCTGAGTCCTGCTCGGAAAGGGTGATAGAGGCAGAAGCAGAGGACAGGGCTAACAACACGGTTGGAGTAGGCCAGCAGGGTACACAGGCCACAAAAGCCAGTGATGTGGCTTGTGGGAGGCCCATGGCAGCCACACAGCCCAGTGCAGAGCAGGGTCCCCAGTGGGGGAGGGGGGGAAGAAGCCCAAGGGCCGAGTGCATAGGTGCCAGCCCACATGGCCGAAAGAGCAGCCCAGGCCCAGCAGGCAGGGCAGAAAGACCAGGGCTCCCAGCAGTGTAAAGTAACAGGTTGCTCGAGGCAGGCTAAGCCACAGGAGGCAGGCCAAGCCACAGGAGGCAGGCCGAGGGTCTCAGGGGTACCTGCCACCTGCTCTAATACCGTCACCCACTGGAACAGCCAGTTGGGCAGCGAGATGGCCAAGCCCAGTACCCACAAAGCTCCACAGAGCAGCAGTTGGGCACCTGGGCTGGCTGGAAGAGCCACCCTGGGCCAGACCATGGCCACATGACACACAAGTGCAGTGGCTGCCATGCTGTAGAAAGTGCAGAACGAACATGGTGGCTGTGTTGGCAGCCCGGCTGGTGTGCAGATGGCAGGGCCCAGCCACTAGCTCTGATTCGAGAAGCTCGGTGGCCGGGAAGGAGCTTCGAAGGATAAGAAGTGCCAGTAGGACAGTGTCACATTCGCCATTAGGCTGGCAGTTGACACCAAGAGTGGGTGAGAAGCTTGAGGACCGAGAGCCACTGCTAGTAGTAGGAACTGATTGGCCAGCAGCCCCAGAAGCAGGAGGAGGCTGAAGATCCCCTCAAAGGTCAGGTGGAGCCACCTCTCCTGGGTGGAGAGTGACATTCAGCTCCATGCTGGTGAATTCTGTAAATGATGGTATTTCACTGGGTGGTAGTGGTGCACTTGGAGGCAGAGGCAGGTGGATTTCTGTGAGTTCGAGGCCAGTCTGGTCTACAGAGTGAGTTCCAGGACAGCCAGGGCTACACAGAGAGAAAACCTGTCTCAAAAAAAAGACACCAAATGACAGGATGAATCTGTGTGTGTATGTGTGTGTGTGTGTGTGTATGTGTGTATGTGTTTGTGTGTGTGTATGTATGTGTGTGTGTGTGGTGTGTGTATGTGTGTATGTGTATGTGTGAATGTGTGTGTATATGTGTTCGTGTATGTGTTTGTGTGTATGTGTGTGGTGTGTGTATGTGTGTAAATGTGTGTGTATATGTGTGTTTGTGTATGTGTTTGTGTATGTGTATGTGTGTGTGTGTGGTGTGTGTATTGTGTTTGTGTATGTGTTTGTGTGTGTTTGTGTATGTATTTGTGTGTGTATGTGTGTGTGTGGTGTGTGTGTGTGTGTGTGTGTGTGAATGTGTGTGTATATGTGTGTTTGTGTATGTGTTTGTGTGTATGTGTGTGTGTGGTGTGTATTGTGTTTGTGTATGTGTTTGTGTGTGTTTGTGTATGTGTGTGTGTGGTGTGTATGTGTGTGTGTGAATGTGTGTGTATATGTGTGTTTGTGTATGTGTTTGTGTGTGTGTATGTGTGTGTGCGTGCGTGCGTGCACACACGAGCACGGGTGTGCATGTGCATAGGACCCATCTCTGCTCTGAGCATCCACATCTTCCTGTAAGAAATTCTGAATCACCAGCCTTCAGCCCTGCTTCAGGGCCATGGGGGTAGCTCTGCGGGTAGAGTGCTTGCTTAGTATGCCCTGTGTGTTTCCCCATTGCCACATGAGCCCCATGTGAGATGGGGGTGTAGTTCTGGCCTGTTAACCCAGCACTGGAGAGGTGGAGGTGGAGGTGGAGGCAGAAGGATCCCAAGTTCAAGGTCATCCTTAGCTACACACTCAGCTTAGGACATCTGAGACCTGTCTTGAAGAGAAGAGAGGAGGGAGGGGGTGGGACCCCCTGCACCCAAATAAAAAGCAGATTACAGCTACATGAAACTGCAATCCCAGTGCTGGAGGGCGGGCACAGGCAGATCCTGAGAGCCAGTGGCCAGCCAGCAGAGCTGAAATGGCAAGCTTCTGGTACAGTGGCAACCCTTTCAGGTTAGAAAGGTAGTGAGTGGCAGAGGAAGACACCCAACATTTGACATTTGACTCTAGCTATTGCATGCCCGGACATGGGCACAAACGCCTGAACACTCACATGCATGTATCACACATACACACACACACACACACACACACACACACACACACACACCACACATACACTCACACATACACACACACACACATACACACACATACACACACACACACACACACACACAGAGAGAGAGAGAGAGAGAGAGAGAGAGAGAGAGAGAGAGAGAGAGAGAGAGAGAGAGAGAGAGAGAGAGAGAGAGAGAGAGAGAGAGAGAGAGAGAGAGGAGATAAACATCAATCCAAGGCCCAGTGGTGCAGCCTAACGGGTTCTCAGGAGGCAGAGGCAGGGGGATCACAAGTTCAAGCCTGGGTTGCAGTTGGTTCAAAACCAGCATGGGCAACTCAGAGAGACCCTGTCCTAAGATAAAGTAAAAAGAGGAACTGGTGACATGGCTTCCTTTGCTACCAAGTCCGAAGACCTAAGTTTGATCCCTGAGGCCCTACCATGAAAAGACGACTCCAGAAGGTTATCCTCTGACTTCTATACTCCTCCCCCTCACCCCCCACAAACATACACACAAATAATGAAGGTAAGTATTTAAGCTTCTTAAGTAAAGAGAGGGCTAGGGTGTAGCTTACTGTAGAACACTAGCCTAGCATGCCTGGGACCCTTGGTTTAGTTCCCAGAGCCACAAAGACAATCAAACAGTTCTGGCCTCTTCTGGCAGTATTTGGGAAGCAGGCTCGGGAGGATCATGGGTTTGGGGCCATCCTGAGCTACATAGCAAGACCTGTAGCAACAAGAACAAAAACTAAGACCTGGCATGTGACTCAGGAAGTGCTGGTCTAGGTTGGATTCTCAGTTCCATCTCCAGCATCACATAACCAGATGTGACACCAGCACTCATGAGGAAGAGGGAAGATCAGAAGTTAGGGTCATCCTCAGCTCCATAGCGAGTTCATGGCCAGCCTGGGCTACATGAGACCCGGTCTCAAAACAGAGGAAGTAACAATAAAATCCACCCAGCTCATCACACAGGGCGGCTGTGATACTGGTTATGTGAGGCCATTTCTCAGAATGACACCCGATGCGCAGGTCCTGAGTAAATAATGGCTGCGGTTTGCTCCTGCTCATCCTCCACTTGCAAGGCCTTTTCTCTAATGCCCCAGCCAAGCCTCCATTCCATTCCCCCTCCCCTTCCCAGACCAGGCTCCTCCCTCCTCGCACTCTGAGCCTGGTCTCTTCAGCCTTTTCTTTAATCGGCCTCCAGCCAAGCCATAGCCAGATTCCCCTAGGCTGCCGTACTCTGAAAAACATGTCCGGCAGTTCCCTCTGAGGTCTACCTGGAATCCTGCTGCTGTCCTTTGCCCACCTGGGGTTCCAGTTATCAGCTTAATGACTTGTGAGCCCTTAGCTGTCCAGAGGGCTGACACCCCAACACATCTGGGCTCTGTGGCACATGGTGGACCCAGCATGCCCAGGTAAGTTTTCTGAAAGGCGTCTCTTCCCAAACCACACCTGGAGGGAAGCTGGAAGCTACCCCACCACCACCACCACCAAAGAGTGGCTGGCTGCTGGACCAGTTCCCAGGAGTCATGTTCTGCTACTGGCCTCATTAGTTTCCTGGAGCATTAGTACAGCAGGACCTGCCCCTCCCCTCATAAGTGTGTGAGGGGATGTCTGGAAGGAGAAGGCAGTGAGGTAAGGGAGAGCCAGTGAAGAGCTCTGGAGAAGCAAGCCTGGTGTCTGGGGTCATTGCATCCAGGCTGGAGTGGAATGGGTACCTAAGGGCATCTGACCCCATTTTTGGAGGCATCAGATGCTGGAACCTTCTGGACCTGATCAGGCATCACCAGCTGCCCTGTGTGCCAGCTCCCTGCCTCTGAGGCCTTCCTAAATGGTCAAAGAAGGTGCTGGGGAAGCATGGGACTGTGGCCAACAGGTGAGAATGAAGCAATGTCCCTGCCTCTTGCCAGGACTCCCCACCACCCCCACTCTCCACTTGGCCATTTGCACTGGTTCTCTACAACACTGAGGCTTCCTCAAGTTCAACACCCTGTCTCCAAAGAGGTACAAAGCGTCAATCCCACCCCTGGTTCCCATGCTCACACAACTGCAGAGCTGGGCAGAGATGCCCCAACTCAGAGGTCATCCCTGACCCACCAGACCCTGGAACCAGCGTTCCACCAAGTTTCCAAGCTGCAGTCCACACCCCACTAATCATAGGCATCCAGTGGCCACTGAAGACCCCAAGCTGCAGGGGAAGAAGCAGGATCCCGGTGCAACCCTCCATGGGAGTGGCAGAGAGCTCAGGGCATATCAGGGCTGTCAGGATGACACTGGTCTCAGGATTGGATTCTGCAAGGAAGAAACCTGCCTCTGAGAGGGGAAACCGAGGCAGACACAGGAGTAGTGGGAACTGACAGAAAGTGTGAATTCAGAGTTGGCACCAGATTCTCTGCAAGGTTTACTTCCTCTTCCAGATCAGATTCCGACTGTACAAGGCATCCCTAAGCACTGAAGAAAATTCAAAACTACTCAAAAGGAAAATAGCATCCCCATGTGTGTCCTGTGTCCCAGTTAGTTTTTATGATCAATGTAACACAATCTAGAGTCACCAGGAAAGAGGGAAATTGAAATGAAGAATGGCATTTGCCAGGCTGGCCCACGGTGGGCCTGTCTGTGGGGTGCAGTCTTGCTTGATGATTGATTCAGGAGGGCTCAGTCCACTGTGGGCAGCACCATTCCCTAGGCAGGTGGGCCTGGGGTGTATATAAAAGCCGGCTAAGCATTAGGCAGTGTGTGAGCCAGCAAGCGGTGTTCCTCCACGGTTTCCACTTCAGTTCCTGCCCTGACTTCTGTCAATGATGGACAGTGACCTGGAAGCATAAGCCAAAAGAACCCCTCTCCTCCTCTGAGCTGCTTTTGGTCAGTATTTGTTGCAGCAGAAATGAAACTAGAATACCCTGGTGTCTTGTCACCAGGTGAATGAAAGATCTGGGGATACTTTCCTTGGATGGAGTTTCTAGACTTGTCCTGCCACCCACTCCAGCCATGTTTGCTTGGTGGAGTAGAGGTGACACTGTCTCCTGCAGGGCTTCTCTGCCAGGGCTGTGTCCAGGAAGCAGAATGGAAATCAGAGGAAGGGACAGTCGGTGATGGGACCAGACTGGTGATCATCGGCAGCAGCCGGCTCTCTTGGGTGGCTGCTGGTGGGTCACTTCCACCATCGAGGCCTTCAGGCGATCCTCCTGCATCTTAAGTGACCTGTATGACAATGTCCCCAAGTCACTTCTCCCTCTGCAGGAGCAGCATGAAGAGCTGTGGGGTAGTTGAGGTTTGGGTCTGGGAGGCTCCACCCCTTTGTGAAAAGATGGGGCTGTGGGACTGTGACCTTCTGTCTCTCTTTCTAACCCACTGGGTGCCTGTCTCTCTCTCTCTCACACACACATACACACACACTGTCTCTCACACACACATACACACTCTCACACACACGCACACACACAATTTCTCACACTCTCTCTCTGTCTCTGTCTCTCTGTCTCTCACACACACACTCACACACACATACACACTCTCACACACACACACACACACAATTTCTCACACTCTGTCTCTGTCTCTCTGTCTCTCACACACACACTCTCTCTGTCTCTCTCACACACACATACACACACACTCTCACACACACACAATTTCTCACACACTCTGTCTCTCTGTCTTTCTCTGTCTTTCTCTCTCTCTCTCTCTTTCTCTCTCTCTCTCACACACACACACACACACACACACACACACACACACACGAGCAAATCCAACAGGAATAAAGAAATCACATTCCAGGGCTTGAGTCTGAGACCTGGGCCATGGATGGACACTCTGTGTCACAGGAGGGAGGTACATGTACCTAGGAAGCCTAGACTCAAGGTCAAGAGCAAACCTGGGGCTGGGAATGTACTCGAGATTATCTCCTGTAGGCACCACACGGCTAATCACATGCCAGGCACGCTGGTGGACTCCGATGCCCTTCCTGGCATCTGTCTCAGCTGTTCATTGAGCACACAGTGGGTGCAAGGCCCCATATATAAAAAGGGCTGAACAGACAGATGGACTCCTCCCAGAGAGCAAGAAACATATAAAATTAGTTAGTCCAGAAGGGCACAGGCTCAAGACAGAGGCACAGGGAAAGTAGCAGGATGTCATGAGAGACAGATAGACAAAGAGTCAGAGAAATGGGAGACAGAGACAGAGGAAAGGAAGGCTCCACAGGGCAGAATGGCAGTGCAGACAGTGTGCACTATTGGGGGCATTTGGCATTCACCCTAAGTCACGAAGTCACCAGAAGGCCGGGGCAGGAACCTTATTGACAAGAGAAGGAGGTGAGAGAGGGTATGAGGACAGTGCATGGGTCTGTGACCAGGGTCTTCCTTGGCCACTTCCTGGAGAGGGGCAGAGCAGGGCGGGGCTGCCCTGGAGCATTCTGGGTATGAGAAGCACTCACCGAGCCAGGTTCATCAGGGGCTCCAGGATGTTGTGACCCAGGACAGCGCTGCACTCACCAAAGGAGACCCCCAGCTCCTGCAGTCACACAGAGTGGCTGAGAGGCCAGCTCCAGCCCTGCCAACCCCTCACCAGCCACCCTCATTCCCCAGCTGGACCTCTTTCCACCAACCACTGCAGGACACGGGGTGCCATCCTGGAGACTTCCCCCAGACTTGGAGTAGGAGATGGACCTACTGCTTGACTTAGAGAAACACATGGGAACTTTTTTTTTAATGCTCAGGATTTTGTTTGTATGTTTTTCTAAAATATACGAACTATATCCCCACATGAGGTCCTGGGTTCAATTGTCAACAACACAAAAGCAAAGCAAAACAGTGAATTTGGAGAGATGGCTCAGAGGTTAAGAGCACTGGCTGCTCTTCCGGAGGTCTTGCGTTTAATTCCCAGCAACCACATGGTGGCTCAAAACCATCCATAATGAGATCTGATACCTCTTCTGACATGAGGTCATACATGCAGTTACAGCACTCGTACACATAAAATAAATCAATATAAAAAATAATAAATGCCTATAACCTAGCACTCCAGAGGTGGAGGCAGGAGGATCAGGAATTCAAGATCAGTCTCAGCTATGCAGCAAGTTTGAGGCCAGCCTGAGCTACATGAGACCTTGTCTCAAAAAAGTCAAGAGGCTAGGGAGATGGCCGAGCAGGGAAAGGCACTTCCTGCTGAGGTGCACAATGATTCAGAGACAACTTTCAGGAGTGCGTTCCCTTCTTCTACCATGTGCGTTCCAGGGATCTAACCCGGATCATCAGGCTTGGTGGCCGGCACTTCTACCCGTGCCATCTTGTTTCTTTTCTTTATCTCCCCCCCCCTTTCGCTTCCCTCTTCTTCTTTTATGACCCAGTGTCACCAATTCATCTTGAGGCCACAAGTCCTTAGGCTTCAGCCTCATTTCCCTTCCTATAAGTCAAGGGATTTTGCTGACTTGAAGCTGGGGAGCAGGTTGAGGGGCCACTGAGATACCACAGGAAGAACATCCAGGTTCCAGGTTCTGACTAGAACCCCGCATCCATCTGTCCTGACGGGAGCCACACGGAGACATTCAGAATTATCTTGGGTCCCACAGGACACACACAGGACCCTTCATGGTAAACACTGGCCTCTCACACGAGCCTCCCATGTATAACTGCCAAGCTCTGCCAACTGTCCATCATAAACAACACTGTGAGGAGCAGCCTCCTGCCAGTCTGAGTGGATGCCCTAGGAGGGGTCAACTCTGGATTTCCCAAGGACTGCTAATTCTTGATTCTCTGACAGCATAAATTTTCAGAGAAGGAACTCTTAGAGGTGACAGACTACTGTTCTAGAGAGGGGATGATCTGCCAACTGGAGCCACAGTGGCAAAGGGCGGGACCGGGAGTGACTCTCTCCCTAGGTTTTAACTTTTTAAGAAATTACACACACACACACACACACACACACACACACACACACACACACATATTTGCTTTTCTATAATGTGGTTAGAACTCATTTATAAATAATAGCATCTCTCGTCTGGCAGCATAGCTTTTGAAGTCGTCTTCCCAAGGAGAATGTTTGAGTCTTAAAATAGAATAAACGAGAAGGGAGTATGTTAATTAGAGACCAGAGATAAAATTAAGATTTGATTGGGGATTTCAGTGACGCTTTTAAAACTGCTTTCACTCTGAAGATGTTTTTCACGTGGGTTGGAAACGAGTGGGAATCTGCTAATTTCACGCAGGGTTCAAGGTGGCGCCTGCCGGCACAGCCTGGGTTTGAGCCCATGGCGCATCTACAGGGACTGACTGACTGGTCAGCCCTTGAGGATGGGGGAGGCAAGAACAGGAGGGCGGGAAACTCTGTGTCCCCGTTCCCCCCCCCACCACCCTGTGTCATGCCAAACATTGCTGTCCTGGTACTCACCTGAGCCAGTCTTCTCCCGGCTTCGGTGGGCACTTGCCTCTCCTCCTCGCAGTCCATCTTGTTTCCCAGAAGGACCATGGCCACCATGTCTGCACCTGCATCCTGCACACAGGACATGTGTGCTCAGCCATCCTCGGTGGATGCCAGGCCCAAGATAGAAGCTTCTAGAAGTTTCTAGAAGCCATCAGGCATCCTGTCACCTGGACCCTCTCTTCTCCTTTCGGCTTACAAGACACTTTGCCTACTTTCACGGCTAACCTTGTGGGCACCTCCCCCCTGGAAGTCTTTCTGGGTTGTTCCTGCCCACTCTTCACGACTGTGTGTCTCTGATTGCCTAGGCTGCCTCAACACTTGTGTCTGGTTGCTTTTCTTTTCTTTATGTGTATGTATGTCTGTGCATATGTGTGTCATGTGTGTGTACAGGTGGCCACAGAGATCAGAAGAGGGGGGTCAGATCCCTTGGAGCTGGAGTTACCAACAGTTGTGAGAAATCCAACGTGAATGTGGGGAGCCCATTGCCCATCCTCTGGAAGAGCAACAGGACTGCTAGTCTCTCTAGCCCCGTAAGAGCTTTTCAAGTCATCATCATCATTAGAGTTTCCAGCTACTGACTGCTCTCTTCCAGGTGCCAGAAGCGGTTGTTCCAGTAAATCTTCCCAGCTCCCCACGAGAGAGACAGAGGTTCTGGGAGGTTAAGCCATGTGTCCAAAGCCACTGAGTGGGGGATGAAGTGGACAGACCCAACTTAGCCTCATGTGGGGCTCATGCCCTGCAAAATCCCAGCATAGAGATTAGGTATGTGGGACCTGGAGCTAGACACCGTTAATGTGAATTCCCACCCAGGAGACCTCCTTAAGGGATGCATAAACAGTTCGCTTTGGGACTAAAACTGTGGCCAGACTGCAGCCCCAAACACACTCACCTGCAGACAGTCCAGCCAGTAGCGCACATGGGTGAAGCTCTCTCGGGAAGTGACATCATACATGAGCACCACTCCCTCCGCCTTTCGTAGCAGCTGTCGTGTGAGGCTGTGGTACCTGCCCAAAGGGTCTGCATGAGGCCACCATATCCAGAACCTGCCCACCCCTCAGTCCTAACCTGGGGGTGGATTTGATGTATTTGGGGTCATTTAGATATTCTCCCATGTGTTCTGACATCTGGGTCTCTGCTTCGTGGATGAGTTTATCTGTAGAACAAGATTCCAGAAATGCACTGCAGAGTGGAACCTACATGGCCTTTACATTTCCCTTACTGTGGTCCGTGTGTTAGATGGAAGTCCTGCTGTCTAGAAGGTTGGTCAGGGGAGAATGGCTCCTCATCACCCTAGGCCTGTGCAGAGTGCTGGCACCTGAGCTCACAGCCCCTCCTTCCTGATTCCCTGAGTCTGGATCTCAGGGTCTCATTGCTTCAGTGGGTAGACCTTGTCCCCATCACCCAGGATGTAGGCCACTCTTTCCTCCCACACTCTGAGCACAGCTCCAGTCCCTGACCACTGGCGGGGACAGTCTGGATACCTCTCTTGTCCAGCTGTGTCCCACAGCTGCAGTGCGAAGGTTTTGTTGTCTACCATCAGGGTTTTGACACGAAAATCCACTCCTAGGACACACAGAAAAAGACAAGAGGCCTTGTACTCTCCTCCCAGGACAGCCAGCCCCAGATGCCCCAGATGTGTGCCCACTCCCAACCCCAGCCTTAGAAGGATGGAGCCAATGCTGGGCTCCTCTCTGCTCTCCAAAGGTCCCCACAACCAAGTGTCACACTTCCAAGCAGCCTTCCCAAGCTGGAGAAGGGACCCATGGAGTCACGCTGTGTGCTCTGGGACTCCCAGGGCAAGTCATCTCCCATCTTTGAGCCCCCCTTTCTCATCAGCAAGGTAGTATTTAAAAGACCCATAATGGCTGCTATGGAGGGTGAAATGGCCTGGGCCTAAAGGCTCCTGGGGGTTTCTGCTAGGTCACCAAGGTGACTGCGTTTGTCATCCCTCCACAGGCTGAGTCCCACAGTCCCGCCCTTCCCTGTAGTCACAGCTGCAGAGCCAGTTAGACCCTGGGATATGGAGTTGATAATGAGAGTCTGAGCCCCTTCCAGCCTCCCTACCTGTCCAAGAAGCCCTCTGGATGAGAGAGAAGCAAGAAGGGGAGGGGGGGAGCTGGAGAGATGGCTCAGCGTTTAAGAGTCCTTACTGCTATCGCAGAGGATCTGTTCAGGCCCCAGCCCCCACAGTAGGCAGTTTACACAAGCACCTGTAACCCCAGTTCTAGGGTATTCAACCCCTCTCTTAGCCTCCATAGGCACCCGTACAGAGATGTGCATATCCGCATATAGACACCCAAAAATAATGAAATGAATCTTTTTCTTAAAGGGAAGGGGATGATTTGTTCCAGTCCCCACCCCCCTTCCTTTGGTGCCCACTGCAGCCTGGCAGCTCCTGACACCCACAATTTGGGTGAGAGGTTTCCATGGTGACCCCTGTTAAGTACATGCTTCTGCCCCCTAGTGGTGGCTTGCCCCCAGCCCCAGTCTCCTCCAAGAAGACTGACCCTGCAAGGCAGCTCATGAGTAGCAAGTGATTTTTCTCTACAGCCTTCCTGAGGCTCTTAGGAGCCCAGGACTGCAGGGTCCTGAGCCTGCCACATTCAACTGCACACCCACCAGGCCATTCACCAGTGGCTCTCAGTCACTCTGTCCCCTCCCCTCTTGATTTCTGCCCCCTCATCTACCCATCCCATGTGCCCCAAAACTCCATTCAGCTAAGCCACGGAGTCTTTGTTGGACACTTCTGGTTCAAGGGCGCAGCCCACATTCTAGCAGCAATCCAGGGCAGAGCCAGGCACACAGGGGTCAAGCCTTCCCCGTAGGGCCTAAGCTTTCAAAGTGGGCTTTGCCCTGAGCTTGAACCTTGGGGCCAAGTGAGGGCAAGAAACCTAACTAGGATTTAGTCCTCTACCACAGCAGGGACAAATTGAGAATCACACGTGGAGATCTGTGTCTCCACCCCTGCCCTCAAATGCATTGGGCAAGTTTTCTGATTTCCCGAGAGGGGCTGGGATGGAGTGGACACCTGACTGGCTATGCAAGCATGCGCTGTCTGAACTGTGTGGAACTGACACAGCTTCATGGGGCTGGGGAGATGGCTCGGGGCTTCAGCACTTGCCATGCAAGCCTGCAGACCACAGAGCAAACATCCAGAAAGCCACGTAAATGCTGGGTGGGCATGGCAGCCTGCCCGCCATCCAGTCTCAGAAGTCAGAGATGGGACTTCCCAGAGCATGCTGGCTAGTGAGACCAGACATATCGGGTAGCTCAGAGCTTAAATGAGAGACTCTTCCTCAATGAATAAGATGGAAGAGCGACCTCGGACATTTCCCCAAATCAGATTTGTGCCTCCACATGCACGCATGAACACACACATACATAACACGCACACACATACATAACACACGCACACATACGAAACACATGCTGTAACCCCAGCCTCAGGTGGTGGGGACAAAGTCAGATCTCTGGATCTCATTGTGTCTTACCCACTTCCAGTGAGAACCTGTCCATTAACATCAGAGCTTAAATCTACTAAAACTCTCAATAAATTCTGACTCTGATTCATATTGCCTCCTATGGCAAAGTCAGGAATCCCAGCCTCACCTGAGGGAAGGTTGCAGAACGAGCCCTAGTCTCCAGCCCATTTCCATAGAGGCTGACAGGTCTTTCTGCTGCATGATAAGAAGGGGGGATGTGACAGTTTTGAGTATGGACTTGACACACTAGAATCACACAGCCATGAAGCACTGTCTAGAATAGGTTGAACTGTGGGCATGCCTATGAGGGATGTTCTTACCAGGGTAAACTAAGATGGGAAGACCCACCCTGAATGCGGGTGGCATCGTTTCACAGTCAGGGCTCTGGGCTCAATGAAAAGGAGACAGTGAGCTAACCCCCAGCAGGAATGTGTTAAGTCATTTTTCTCCTGACTGTGAATGGGGTTTTTTGTTTGGTTGGTTTTGTTTGGTTTTGGTTTTTCAAGACAGGGTTTCTCTGTATTGCTTTGGAGCCTGTCCTGGAACTCATTTTGTAGACCAGGCTGGCCTCGAACTCACAGAGATCCACCTGCCTCTGCCTCCCGAGTGTTGGGATTCAAGGCGTGCACCACCAATGCCCGGCTCTGATTGTGAGTATAATGTATCCAGCTGCTTCAAGCTTGGATGCACTGATGTCCCTACAACAATGGAGTAAAATAAATCCTTCTCCCATAAGTGTCTTTGGTCAGGTTGTCCATCATTACCATAGAAACCAAGATAAAGAGGGATGTTGTCAGGGATAAGACATGAGCAGAAGATGCCAGAGACAAGTGGGCGCTCAGCAAACAGTAGCTTAAGTTATTAATAATGGTGGCCGCATAGACCCTGTGGTCCACCTAACAGTAGCTCAGGTCTTCTTTGGGTCCCTCTCTTTTTAAGGACACTGAGTCTTTAACGTAGCACCCTGGTTACTTTTCATTGTCAACTAGAACAATCTGGAGTCACCCAGGAAGAGGGAACCCCAACTGAAGAACTGCCTCCATCAGACTGGCCGTGTCTGTAAGTCTTACAGTGTAAGACAATGTCTTGCAAATCAATGAGGGAGGGCCCAGCCCACCATGGGTGTCACCATCCCTAGACAGGTAGGCCTGGACTGTATAAGACAGTTAGCTGGGCATAAGCCAGTAAGCAAGTAGTCCTCCATGGTTTCTGCTCCAGGTCCCTGCCTTGAATTTGTGCCCCATTGTCCCTTAGTGATCGGCTGTGACCTGGAAGTACGGGTTGAAATAAACCCTTTGCTTCTCTAAGTTTCTTTTGATCATGAGGTTATCTCACCGATGGAGGTCAAACTAGGATATCTGGGAAGGATTCTTGGGCAGAGAAACCCTAGAGCCTGCCAGAGGCCACCCTGCAGCAGATGTTAGGCCATCTGCTTGGCCCTGGTCCTAATTAGCCTGTACCCTGGACTGACATGAAGACACACCACTTCCCCTTGGTCCCTCTTACAGGAGCCACTGAAATATCATGCTAAAATGTTTATTTATGAGAACAGTCCAGGAGTAACATGGACTGAGCACATCATGCATGCCAGGCATTATTCTTGACACGTGTGAGCTCACACCTGCGGCTGGAAGTGGGGGCTCCTCCCATGTCCACTGTCATATAAAGATGTGGGGACCAGAGGGAACTGGACCTGGGCTGCCCCCTTGCAAAGGTCCATGAATTTATGGCTTGGTGCCCAGCCTACTGCTATTGGGAGGCAGAAGAATTAAGCAGTGAGGCCTGAGGGCTGGAGAGATGGCTCCTCCATTAAGAGCAGCAGCTGCTCCTCCAGAGGACATAATCTCGGTTCCCAGCACCCACCACAGTGTGTAACTCCAGTTGAAGGTGATCTCACACCCTCTACTGACCTCTGAGGGCATCAGGCATCCATGTGGTGCAGACAGAACACCCACACACATAAAAAATTTTTAATTAAAAAAAAAAAGAAGTGAAAAAAAAAGAAAGAAGTGAGAGCATTTGGGAGACAGAGGCAGGCAGATCTCTATGAGTTCAAGGCCAAGCTGGTCTAGTGAGTTCTAGGATAACAGCCATGGCTATATAGAGAGACTCCTGTTTCAAAAAAAAAAAAAAAAAAAAAGGGAGGCCTGGCTGGCACTGAAGTCTTCTGGTCTTTAGGTATATGTCTAATGTGGATTATGGGACCTGGGCTCTCTTTTCTTCTCTACCCCCAACTCCCACCCATTGTGATAGGGTCTCATGTAGCCCAGGCTGACCTCAAGTTTGCTAAGTAGCCAAAGATGACCTTGAACTTCTGCTCCTCCGGTCTCTACCTCCTGAGTGCTAAGATCACAGGCTTGTAGGACCATGCTCTGTTTACTGGATGCTGCAATCGCAGCCCTGGCTTCACACACTAGACCAGCATTTCACCTCTTTGGCTCCCTCTTTCTCTCTCACTCCCCTGTAGCACCGTGAGCAGTTTGGCTCCAGCATATGTCTCCTCCATAACACACTGCACTGCCACAGACCCAAAGGCCACAGGACCAACGGTGAACCAAAACCTCCCAAACTGAGCCAAAATAAACCTTCTATAAGCCTTAGGGCTTTGTGACACAAAGCTGACAGAGGAGTCAAGCAAGGCGTCCAAGTTCACAGCCACAGTAAGTGCTAGGTCTAGAATTTAAACCCAGGCCCCTGAGGGTCCTATCTTGCCACATTCTGAATATACTCATGTAAGATACCCAGCTTGTGTTTCCTGCCAGGACATGCAGACAGACCTGGGGCATGTTGTGAGCATGTCCATGCTCTACAGGGAACTGCCTACCACATGGGCCAAGACTAGCCTGTTTTCATCCTCCGCTAACACCAGGACCTAAATTGCACAGTGTTTGCTCCTGTGGCACCTATAAGCTAGCCAGATCAATGCAGCGAGAGCAAATTACCTGTAATTAGAGATGATTAGTGAAATGCTAAGATTTTGCCCATATAAAATAATGCCTCATGAAGGCCCGTGGCCAAGGCAGAACCTGCCGCGTCTGGGATGGCTTGCTCAGGGACTGCTTTAGCATGCTGGCCCTGGCCTAGGACCTCTCCTTCAGTGCTAGCTCCCCAGGGGGCCTTACCTACGGTGGCTGTCAGCCCAGTGGCAAAGGCATCATGATGCAACAGGTGTAGAAATGAGGTCTTGCCCACATTGGAGTCCCCCAAGAAGATGACATGGTAGAGGTAGTCGGGGTCAGCCTGAGGCTTGCCAGCAGTGAGGTCCCCAAGGGAAGTCAGTTCAGCCTCCCCCGAGTCTGTTCCTGGGTCCTCCGGCCTGCTCTCTGCCCCTGGTTCCATGGGCTGAGGGGTGCCAGGCTTTCTCTCCACCTGAACAGGCATGGACATGGGCCTGGGCTGGGCTTCCGGTTCAGCCAAGGTGAGGAGGGCTTGTGTGGTCTCTGGGGCTCTTACTGCAAGCCCAGCCTCAGGCCCCATAAGGGGAGAGCCTCTAAGAGGAGACATTTTACTAGGAGCAGGAGCCTGTGATATGTCAGGCAGGGGATCATCTTGCTGGGGTGACTCTGGGTTCCTGGCTTCCAGGCCATGAGCCTCATGGGCCTGTTCTGACCCCACGTCCCCCTGGCCTCTCTCTCCTGAGTTTCCTTCCACAGGCCTGTGCTGCTCTTCAGGACTCTGGAGGAGGTGGGTAGACAGGCTGTCCAGCCTGAGGACCTGGCCATGGGCTTCTTGGAAACCCCTAGGCTGACTCTCCTGTCTAGTCAGCTGTGCCTCACCCTCCACTGGCATCTCTGTGGGTACCTGGCAGTTAGTGGAGTCCCCCAAATCCACAGGCTCCAGGCTTGGACAGGGCTCTGTGGCCCCCTCGGGGAGGGTCATGGCTCCCTGGGACTGTAAGCCCAGCTTCGGGTCCTTCGTCAGGACCTCTCTTTCCATAGGCAGCTTGGCTGGATCAGGTCCAGGCCAGAGGCTCTTGTCACTCAGATTTAGGGCCTGGGACTCTTTTCTGGACCCAGGTGGGGACTGAGGAGGAGGAGAGAGGCCCTGAGGAGGAGGCTCAGCTTCAGAAGCCAGCCGCACTCTGAAAGCTGCCGACTCCACACTCCCGGACTCCCCAACCTGGGCTCCTGGCAAGCTCCAGAGGAAGGGGGACTTGGGTCTAGCTTCCAGGTCAGGGGTGACCACAGGCTGCTTAGAACTGCCACCCTGTCCAACCTGCCCCTCCACTCCATTCCTATCTTTGACACTGGGAGGCACCCGGGCGGGGCTTCCTGGGCCTGGGTCTGGATCTGAGGCTGGCTCCTGAGCAAACTGTAAAGCCCCTATATTGGAAATGGAGATCTGCCTAACAATTCGGGGAGTCTGGGGGCCTGAGGTGCTAGTCGGGGTTGGGGGTGGGCTCCAGCAGAGCTGCAGGGCTTGGTGGGACCGGTCTCCAAAGCTGTTCAGAAGCTGGTCCCAGTCGTCATTGTCCCCAAACAGCTCAGGCAGTGGGGCCTCCTCAGTGGGGACAGCCTGAAGGTCTGGGGCCGTCTTATTTTCTCTGGGGACACTGGGAAGGAATCGGGGGAGTGAAGGTCAGGGAGGTAGCAGTTAGTGGAGTCCCCCAAATCCTGATAGCATAACTTTTCCTGTGTCTGGCTCTCCTCCAGGGCTTGCTGAAAGTCCCTTCCATCCCATTCCGTACCTCAAAACCCACATGAAACTTCACCTCCTCCAGGAAGCCTGCCCTGACCAGGTAAGCCTTCTTGCCTCTGAGCTGTTACAAACAGAGCAAGTACCTGCCTGGGACCTGTGTGTGTGGGAGTGTGAATGAGAGTGTGTGTGTGTGTGTGAGTGACTGTATGTGTGTGTGTTGTGTGACTGTATGTGTGTGTGTGGCTGTATATGACTGTGTGTGTGATTGTGTGTGTTTGTATATGTGTGTGTGACTGTGTATATATATGACTGTGTATGACTGTGTGTGTAATGTGTGTATGTATGATTATATGTGTATGTGTGTATGACTGTGTGTATGTGTGTGTGATTGTGTGTTATGTATGTGTGTATGTATGATTATATATGTACGTGTGTGTGATTGTGTGATTATGTGTGTGTGTGTGTGTGTGTGTGTGTGACTTTGTGTTAGTGTGTGTGATTTTGTGTCTGTGTGTCTGTGTGTCTTTGTGCTGAGATCTAACTAGCTCCATGCAGAATGGGCTTTCCTGGCTCCCAGAAGCCACTGCTCTCTACCCAAGTCCGGAGAGGGCAGCTACTTACCTTGGTTCTTCCTCTACCTGCCAGGACACTCGGCCCCTGGCAGTGTTCAGATGTCCCCTTGTGACCTGCAGCTGTCCCCGCACCTCTTCTAGCTGCCCAGCCAGGTCGCGCTCAGCCTCCCGAAGCTGCAGGTTCTCCCGGCTGGCCTCCTGCTGGCTGCTGCTGAGGTGGAGGAGCTGTACCTCCAGCTGTGGAGGGTGGAAGAGAGGAGAGGGTTGAGATATTCCTCTAGGGTGGCAAAGAGCCTCCAAATCCTTGGTGAGGCAAGGACATTCTGCCCCCTGCCCCCACTGCCCAGCTCCTGAAGACCATGCTGGGAGGGGAGGTCACCCTGTGGGGAGGGGGGAGGAGTAGTGGGGAGGACACCATGATCAGAGGATGGGAGGTCCTCACTGCCCCCTCCCCAGGCCACGCCCTGCAGTTGCTGCTGCTCCTGATTCCATCTGGACTGCAGGGGCTTCTGACCCAACAGTGCCTCAGAGGTTCCCACAGGGAAAGAACACAGTCACAGCAAGACCTGTAGCATACAGACGATACATTGGCCTCAGATGACAATGGAGCCCTGTGAGTTCCTGTTGCCCTTCTGGGTCTCACATGGTCCAGGCTAGCTTTGAACTCCTGATTCTCCTACCCCCACCTCCAAGAGCTGGAGTTACAGACCAGTGCCCCCATACCCAGCCTGTCCAAAGCTTTTCCTCTTCCAGTTGTCCCCATACGCAACGTCATTTGGCATGTGAGGCCTCAGAAATGCCGTGGGGACAGACACCTCCTTCTCACAGATGCTGAAAACCTGAGGCTATGGAAGCTCTAGGCTCATTTCCCTGGGTCTGCCTGGCTCTTTATGGGACCTGATCTGACCCATGGCAGTGTCCCCAGGGCACTGGGGAGAGAGCCCTGATCTGGCAAGGAACAGCCCAGGGAGTTCTTGGCTGCCTGTGGCTTCAGGGGACCTGTCCAGCTGGGAACAGTGAGAAGGCTGTCTGGGCTCTGGGCTCCCCAGAAAGCCTTACTCACCTCTCTCTGGCCCTCTGCCAGCCGCTGAACCTCTTGCTCCTTGGCCTTCAGAGCCTCCTGCATGTGGGTGCTGAGGGCCATGCCCCGGGAGTCGCTCTGCAGAGAAAACGGGTCAGCCCTGCTCTGCAGACTCCAGAGTCAGCTCGGCTGGGCTTGCCCTCCCCACCTCACTTCCACCCTGGCCTGGGGTCCAAGGGCTGAACAGTATCGACAAAGAGGACTTTGGGGTTCCCCACTTGGGCCTGAACTCTCACAAGGACACTGAAGCCCAGAAAATAGAAATCAGTCCAGGCGAACATTGACACCTCGAAGAGATGGAACACATGCCTGGCAGGCTCGTCCCATCTCTGGGGAGCTGCAGGGCAGGGGGCTCCCCGTGGCCTCTGCTGCCCTGCTACTTCTTAGCCACTGCTTAGTCTGGAGAGGCTACTTCTTAGGCACTGCTTACTCTGGAGAAGCTACTTCTTAGGCACTGCTTAGTCTGGAGAGGCTACTTCTTAGGCACTGCTTAGTCTGGAGAGGCATTTATCGAGGGCAGGGCTGCAGCCCAAGGCACTCACCTGGGCCTGCAACTGCTGCTTCTCCCTGCGGATCTGCTCCTCTGTCTCCTCATAGAGCTGTCTCACCTTGTGGAGATGGTCAGAGTGTCGCCTACAGTGGCAGGAGGTGGGCACCAGACAGCCCCTCAGGACCTCTGGAACTCCATGCCTGGAGTCCTTCTACCTTGCTTACCCTCAATGGTCTCAGACCCCTATTATGTATGTCACTCTGGGTCTATGACACTGGTTATAACCTCTATTGGTGTCCCCAACCCCCACCATATTTATGGTCCCCATTGTCCGGACTCTCTACCCCTACCACCCTCAGTCACCATCCTGGCCCCATGACTCAGGCCCTCATGACAGGGCTGTGGCCCTGACAGTGACAGGGTCACGAAACAGGCCCCCGGAGTTTCTTCCTCCTCCAACTTAATTCTGCCGATGTAGTCACTCCAGAAGGGAGTAGAATCTCATTTAGGATTTCACAGTGTGTAAGGAACACCTGCCATGTCCCCACTCACTTCCTCAGTGTCCACTCCAGTGCCTCCCGGTCAGCCCGAGCCTCCTGCAGGCGACTGCTCATCTTAGCCAGGAAGCCCTCCAGATTGCCTGCCAGCTGGGGCTCCTCCTGCCGCAGTTCCCCCCACAGTTTCCAGAGCTCAGCCTGCCTGGAGTATGGGAACCTCCAAAGGTTAGATACAAGAGGGCCAGGAAGTGGGGGGCTTTCTGTATCCCAGGCTAGCTTCAGACTTGCTAGGAAGCAAAGGATGACCTTGAACTCCTGATTCTCGTGCCTCCACCTCCCAAACACTGGGATTACTGTGCCCTCTGTTATGTGGTACTGGGGTTGGAACCCACATATGGAGTTAGTTATATATTCTAGGCAAGCATTCTACCAACTGAGCCATATCCCCATCCTTAGTTCTAGTGACAACACTCCCAGAGACTTGGGGACCTGAGAGACAAAATACTACAAAGCTTAACTCAAGTAAGTGCCACCTCTTCCTGAGACATTTCTATATGTGAGCTGGCCCTTCTTGAAGCCCCGCCCCGTACCATTTGTTTCCTTGTGAATCAGCAGTTAATGGGGGTGGGGTGGGTAGACTTGGGAGTCAGCAGCTCAAGACTTCCATCCACTCCTCCCTTCTCCCGTTTTGGAGTTGTGTGGTTTCTGCCTTTACCCTCCCTGTGCTCGCTGGGAAAATACGAAGGCCAATACTTGCCAAGCAAGATTGTTTGGGGAATGAGAGACATGCCAAGCGTGGGTGCCAGCCCTGGGCCCTGCCCACGGTAGGCACTCAGTACACACCACTTTCACATGGACTTAATTAAGTCATGAAGACAGAGGCCCAGAGGGGGGTAAGGGAACAGGGCCAAGCTGCCAAGTGGGTAAATGGCTCCCTGCTCCACCTGCTCTGCCAGCCTACGCCCCAGGTCCCTCCCAGCCTGTCCCACAGCAGCAACCCCACCCTCTGAACCAGATGGGAGCAATCTCATCCCTCAGGCCTGAGGGTGGAGGAGCTAGTGACTGACTGACCAGGAGGGAGTCCCTGGCTGGCTCTAGCAGGCCTTGAGGCTATGGCAACTCAGGAAGGGCCTCTCTTCTCAACACATAAGAAAGCCCCCATACACCCAAGGCCTGAGCCCAAGACACACACACACACACACACACACACACACACAGAGCAGGAATTGGCCTCCTGTCTCCAAACCCACCCAGCCCAGAGCACTACCATGTCTGAAGTCACCCCACTGAGGAACCCTTAGGTAGTCTAAAAGTGATGCTCCAAACAGCTGATCTTTCTAGGGAATGGAGAGAGGGAACCCTCTAGGCACGCTGTAGCAAGGAACAGACTTCACATACTATCAAGTGGCCAAGCTTGGATCTGCACCCAGCCCTACCCTGAGCCCTCACCCCTACCAACTGGCAGGGCCTTACTCAGAAAGGGAGTGGTCAGTCCCCATCTGCCCTACAAGAGCCAGGAAGGCCTCCTTCTCCTCGGCATCAGCCTCCTCGAGGGCAGGCAACTTGAAGGTCACAGATACCGGTTGGGAGAGCACCAGCCGCTTTCTGCGGAGCCTGCGGGTGCTGGGGCTGGAGCCAAAGACACTTTCTGTGTGACAAAGGGGGAGAGGGGAGAGATGAGGCTCTGGTTTCCTTTGAACCCCACCCCCATATTTAAACAGGGGCACATTCATGCATGCCTCAGATCATGGGAGTCTCATGAAATGGAAGTGTCCATTTCCCACATCACCTGAGGCCCAGGGATGCCAAGAGACTCTCTGGAAGTCCCAGGGCAGCTCCAGGGTAGCACACAGGTTTCATCCACTCAGGAAGTATGCATTGAGCAGTCACTTCGAGCTGGTGACAGACTTCACCCACATCCCAGGCCTTGGGGAGGTGACATTCTAGCTCAAGGGTTAAAAAGGACAAGTCTCGTGTGTCTGTGTGTCTGTGTGTGTCTCTGTGTGTGTGTGTGTGTGTGGTGTGTGTGATTGTGGGTGTGTCTCTGCATGTGTCTGTGTGTGTGTGTGTGTGTGGTGTGTGTCTGTGTGTGTGGTGTGTGTGTGTGTGTGGTGTGTGTCTCTGTGTGTGATTGTGTGTGTGAGTGTGTGTGTGTGGTGTGTGTGGTGTGTGTGTGTTTGTGTGTGTGTGTGTGTGTGTGTGTGGTGTGTGTCTGTGTGTGTGGTGTGTGTGTGTGTGTGGTGTGTGTCTCTGTGTGTGATTGTGTGTGTGAGTGTGTGTGTGTGCTGTGTGTGGTGTATGTGTGATTGTGTGTGTATGTGTGTGTGTGTGTTGTGTGTGGTGTGTGATTGTGTGTGTGAGTGTGTGATTGTGTGTGTGAGTGTGTGTGTATGTGTGTGTGTGTGTTGTGGTGTGTGTTGTGGTGTGTGTTTGTGTGTGTGTGTGGTCTGTGTGTGTGTGTGTGGTGTGTGTCTCTGTGTGTGATTGTGTGTGTGTATGTGTGTGTGTGTGTGTGGTGTGTGTGTGGTTTGTGTCTCTGTGTGTGTGTGTGTGTGAACACACATGTGCAGCACAGTGTGCCTGTGGAGGTCAGAGGACAGCTTTCAGGAGTCCCTTCTCTCCTCTCTCAAGTGGGTTCTGGGGATTGAACTCAGATCATCAGGCTTGACATCAATCACCCCCTAAGCCATCTTGCAGGCCTTTTTTCTTATTCTTTTTCATAAAACAAATCTGTTAAGTGACCTCAGAAATAAAGTGGGGGAGGGGCTGCAGAGATGGCTCAGTGGTTAAGACCAGTGGCTGCTCTTCCAGAGGACCCGGGTTCAATTCCCAGCACCCACATGGCAGCTCACAATTGTCTGTAACTCCAGTTCCAGGGGATCTGAAACCTTCACACCAATGCACATAAAATAAATTTAAATAAATTATTTTTTAAGGAATAAACTAGAACCCAGGAGGCAGAGTTAGGAGGATTTCTGTGAGTTCAAGGCTAACCTCATCTATATAGGGAGGTCCAGACCAGCCAAGGCTACACAATGAGATCTTATTTCAAAATAAGATGAAACAAATAATAATAATAAAATAAACAAACCAGTGGTTTCCACTGCGATGGAAGTGGGGGCTATGTTAGAAGGAGAGGGAGCCCAGGAGTGTCCTGAGGAGATGACAGAAACCCTGAGATGTGACTTGCATGCAGGGCCTGGAGTGGATTTCTAGAGGACACTTTGGGCAGAGAGAACCCCACCATACACGCCAGAGTGAGGAGCTAGTCTGGTACTGCAGGGGGACAGATGGTGGTGGGTGAGCTTGAGAGGCTGGTAGGATCTTTATGGTATGTCCCAGAACGGGACAGCGGGAAAGCCACAGGGAGGGAGCAGGATTGGCTTCTTCCTGAAGATGACGCTTGGGGACTCTGTGCACACAGCACCACCCACCCCCAGTTCCAGGCTGGTTCCTCCACTCCACTCCCAGCTTCCCAATCACCAAAACATGGGCGACCCCAGACTGTGAAGACTGATACCTGGCCCCTCTGCTATGCCCTACACCCTAAGCTTTCAAGCCCTGCAGCCTCGGGAACCCAGTGGACCACATGATTGCTCAAGGCTGAGGTATCTTGTTGAGACTCTGAGAGGAGGCCGTCTCCCCTGCTCTAGGCCAAAATGCCTGCCCCACCCACTGAAAGGCTCATTGGGGGAGATGCCCTGATTTCGGGGTCCCTTCTGAGTGGCAAGTGATGGGAATATTACTCCTACCCCCACACTGGTGCCTCCACCTACTCTCTGTCGCCCAGATACCACCCTCTGGGACCTGCAGCCTGGAGTT